AGAGAGAAAAAAGGAAAAATAAAAACGTGATGCGTGTGTGTCCCAGCGTCTGCAGGTCTGGCACGGGAGCGCTTCGTATCGGCCGGCGGATCGTGGGAACCGCCTGGGTTTTGACCGCTCGCGAACTGATATAATGTCTTCCTTTCTTTCTTTCTTTCCTCCCTATCTCCTTTCGTCATTTCTTGTATCTTTTACTCCTTTTTTAGCATTCCCTCCCTACCTCCTTTCTTTATCCCCTTCCTTCACTCCCTTCATCCGTTACTCTCTCTCTTTCCTTTATTCCCTTCCTCCCTCCTTCCTGGAGGGCCTCCCTTCACTCCCTCCCTCCCTCCTTCCTTCCTTCCTTCACTCCCTCCTTCCTTCCTTCACTCCTCCCATCCCTCCCTCATTCCTTCCTTCCTTCACTCCTCCCCTTCCTCCCTTCCCTCCCTCCCTCCCTCCCTCCTTTACTCCCTCCCTTCGATACGAGAGTTCCAGTCACCGTAACGCAGTGCTCCTCAAGCTTCACCGTCGACGTGCCGCCCGCCCCTCGAGACGTCTTGTGGCTCCCCGCGCTCGCCCTCAAGCGTCTCGCTCCCTTGATCCTTTGGTGTTGATTCGCCAGTGGAAAGAATAATGAAAATAAGGTTTTTTTTAGGTGTTTTTACTTATGTATTTTTTCTAATATGTGGAGCAAGAAAGTAAAAAAAAATATCTGGTGTACTACTGTTCTTTTTTTTTCTCAGTAATCTATTAGTGATATTTTAGAAATACTTTCCTTTAGTTGCTTAGTCTATAATCCTATTTAACTGACGTTAATGCTAGTAAAATGGAAGCTTTTATATTGGCTAAGTGAATGGAAGAATCTGGGTGTCTTAATTATCCGATCTCTTGGTGTTTATATGTATAAGAAAGGCTAATCGTCTGGCCTACTCTGGTTATGAATATTTGGTATTAATGTGTATGCAAAGAAGATAATTCACGTTTTTTTTATCTGTCAATCAAGAAAGAAGTTCAAAAACATTCTTAGACTTGGCGTTTCTGTTATACTGTCAATGCTATTTTTTGTAATTGTTGTTCGTCATTGTTTTCTTATTCTTATCGTTTTTTTCTCGCTTTCTACCTTCCTTTTTCAGCTTCAATACTTTTTCTGACTTTTCTCTCACACTTAACGTCGCTTTGCTTCCCACGGCGTTCCTTTGTCTCGCTTTATCAAGACTTATCGACATTATTATACTGGCTAAATGAAATACTTTTATGAGTTTTCTTTCTCTGCAATGTCATCGATGGATGTGTGTGTATATATATATATATATATATATATAATATATATATATATATATATATATATATATATATATATATATATATATATATGTCTGTGTGTGTGTGTGTGTGTGTGTGTGTCTGTGTGTATGTATATGTATATTATGTATACATATACATAATTTATAAATATATATATATATATTATATATATATATATATATATGTGTCTGTGTGTGTGTGTGTGCATATATATATATATATATATATATATAATATATATTATTATATTATAGTGTTATGATAATTATCATGATTGACATTGTATTGTCGTTTTTGCTTCTAATTCATTAATATCTGGCGTTTCGAGATCACAGTTTCTTTATGCAAAATTTCTCAGTTGAAGCATCTTTCAGCGCGATTCTCAATATCACACACACACACACACCACACACACACACACACACACACACACACACACACACACACACACACACACACACACACACACACACACACACACACACACACACACACTCGGAATTATTTACAACATATCGACTTTTCTCTCAGCGTGGTAATTACCTCCCCTCTCTCCCACCCCTCCCCCTCCTTCTCCTCCTCATTAAGCCCATTATCTAACCTCAACTCATCTCTGCTCTCCCATAACAACCCCTCCCCTTCCCTCCCTGTTCTCCCTTTCCTTCCCTCTCTTTCCCCCACCCTTCCCTCATCCCCTCCATCCTTCTCCCTCTCCTCCCTTCCCTTTCCTCCCTTCCCCTTTCCCTCCTTTCCCCTCCCCCCTCCCTTCTCCCTTCCCTCCTCTCCCCTCCCTTCTCCTTCTCTCCTACTCCCTTCCTCCTCGCGTTCAAAACCATCGGTAATTATTCCCGTAACAGCTTCCGGTCACACTAACGATCGCCTGCCTCGTTGTTATGAATTATTGGGCCGAACGAGTTGAGGACAAGAGAGAAGGGGAGAAATTTCGAAAGAGAGGGAGCTAATGGCGACTTCTTTGACGGTTTGGGAGGATGGGGGTTTGCGGGCACAGAGAGGCACACACGCACGAATTTGTGTGTTTTTAACTTTTGCTTGTCAATTTTATCTTTTTTTTGTTGCATAGGTTTGTGTGTATATGCATGTACACACACATACAAACACACACACACACATATACATACATACACATATACACATACAACTACATGCACATACATTACATATATATATATATATATATATATATATGTGTGTGTGTGTGTGTGTGTGTGTGTGTGTGTGTGTGTGTGTGTGTGTGTGTATGTGTGCTTTAATACAGACTGGCAAGTTCATAGATAAGTAATTATATTATAAAAAAATAGTGATTTTTGAATGTGTACACGTAAGAGCAAGTAAGAAGAAACCTCAAAGCGCGCGCGCGCCGATCTCGCATTACCCCCGCGCCGCCGTCGGCCACGGGGTGAACCTGCCCGCAAGTCCCGTGGGAAGACAGCCGAGCTCTCGTTTATTATTAAAGGTAATGTTGTGGCCGCGGAGATGGGGGCGGTTGAAAAGGAAATTTGTGTGATCGGAGAGGATTTTCCCCGATTTTAGGGACACGGGATCCGCTCGTCTTTTGTTATTCATACCCTTTGGGGCTATGAAAAGACTGTGACGTCACGACCCGCGGCGTGTCCGAAGTGGGTGAAGGTGGCCAGGATATTATTTCGTGTGGTTTAGCCCGTTGTTTTCTTTGTGTGTCGGAAGAGTTGGGTTGTTTGTGATCCAGGGCTTAAGGGTGACCATTATAAGCGGCCGCAGAACTCAGACGGCAGGGATAATAAAAACATGTTTGTGGCGATGCATGCCAACCGCGCCCAAGGTCACGAAGGCAGACGCTAGTAAGGCGAGCTCTGTTAAATCTTTAAAAAATGATAATAATAATAATAATGATAATAAAAAAAATCTAGACTTATTTCCTGTGTGTTTTGGCATCGACTGTTTTATACAATGCCCACTGTAATTTCATTTTTCTATCTGTAGACAAAGAAAAACATGAACAGTAGGAAAAGAGGAGAATGCAATGTCATACCCTCAAAACAACCTATAATGATAGCAACAAAAGTTCTTTCTGTGCTTTAGTATGTGAGACCGACTCGATTATGTCCCCCAAAAGACTGAACATACTGTCAAGGTGATTCTTGCTGCTTCTGTTTGTTTTTGTAATATATTCATCTATCATTCGCCGAATCATTTATACAAACAATCCCTTTTTAGGAATGATACATCGTCTCATTTACTGTATTCTTTATTTCCCATTTATAACGCATTTCCCCGCTAAGACTAATCATATATGCTAATAAGACATGTATTTGTCGTTTAATTATCCAATGGAATTAACAAGTAAATAATAAATAGATAGAATAGAAGGAAATTATTGGCTGATGAGGAATCCCGTTTTCTATTCCTCGATCAGTGAGAAATTTCGAAGACTCTGTTTGCGGTTTGCGTTGTGACCGGAATTTAGCTCGGTTGGTTCGGCAGACGGCTTGGTGTGGAGGAACAGGGAATGGGAAGAAGGAAAATGAGGAAATTTGTGATTGGGGAAGAATGGGAAAGGGCGAGGAGTGGGAGAGGGTGAAGGCGAGGGAAAGGGGAAGAAAGAGACAGGGAGAGGGAGAGGAAGAGGAGGAGGGTGAGGGAAAGGGAAAGGGAGAGAATGAGTAAGAGAAAGATAGCGAGGGGGAGAGAAAGAGAAAGAAAAAGACAGGGAGAGGGAAAGGGAAAGGGAGAGAGAGAGAGTGAACAAGAAAGAGAAAGGGAGAGAGAGAGAGAGAGGCGGAAGGAGAGAAACACAAATACAGGAAGAGGGAAAGGGAGACAGAGAGAGAGAAGGCGAGAAAGTGAAAGAAAAAGACAGGGAGAGGAACAGGGAAAGAGAAAAGGAAAGGGAAAGAGAGAGAGAGGGAGGGAGAAAGAGAGAGAGAGAAAGGGTAAGAGACAGAAAAATATAAAGAGGGTAAGAGAGAGAGAGAGAGAGAAGGAGAATGAAAAAGAGAAAGAGAACCAGAGAAACGAAAGAAAAGAGAGTTCAAATGAAAGCACACAATGGAAAAGAAAAGAGCAGGTGGCTCGGGAGAGACTTCAACGCCCTCCGCGTGATGATCTCGCGGCCTCAACTTACCACTGCTTTCACGCTGGAACACAAATCGGATTTATGACCGCCAAACACGCATTAACTTCTTATTTTTTACCGTTACTAATTCTCCCAGACTAAATATTTTAAAGAGATGTTACGATCCAATTAAAACCACAAGTCAGAAAACATTGTTTGGGTCAATATCTAATTTTCTAAAATCGCTGTTTTCCCTTATTTTTCGAACTGGACAGCGGAGGACGAGAAACTAGAAATCATTTTTAAAATTCATATCTAAATATCTAAAACAGTGTTTTCCTTGCTCTCCAGCTGGAAGAAAAACTGTCAATCAAAAAAACATTCTTTTGGTCAACATATAAATCTCTAACATTTTTTTTTTTCCAATTTCCAACTGGACCACAGAAGACGATAAATTACCAATCAAATAACATTCTTTTGGTCAACAAGTAAATTTCTAACAGATTTTTTTCCAATTTCCAACTGGACGACAGAAGACGAGAACCTACCAATAAAAAAAAATCTTTAAGTCAATATCTAAGTAACTAACGTTATTTTTCTCCATTTTCCAAAACATTCTTTTTTATCAATATCCAAATCTCTAACCCCCCCCCTTTTCCAGCTGGACGGCGGAGGACAGGGCCGTGGCGTGCCGGCAGATGGGCTACACGGGCGGCAAGTACTGGGAGTGGCACGACAGGGCCAACAACGACACGGCGACGATCCTGTACGAGGCGCCGCTCTGCTCGGGCATCGAGGACGACATCACCAAGTGCGCGTGGAACACCCACTCCATGGGCGGGGGCGTGTGCGGTACGTGGTGGGGCGCGCCGGCTCCCTCTCTCGCGCTTGCTCTGATTCTTTTCTTCTCTCTCTCTCTTCTCTCTCTTCTCTCTCTCTCTCTCTCTCTCTCTCTCTCTCTCTCTCTCTCTCTCTCTCTCTCTCTCTCTCTCTCTCTCTCTCTCTCTCTCTCCCTCCCTGTAGCCTTCTCTCTTTCCCTCCTTCCCAATCTTTCTTGCTTCCCATAGTTTTCAAATATATCATTATGTATATCACTTTTGTCTTCGATAAATTTTCCTCCTTTGAATGGATCTGGACGAGATTTTCAGATAATTTCTTTCTCCATTATAATACTATCTCGCCCGGGTATCCGTTCAGATGAACAATATCTACTAAAAGGATATAAAAATTCCTGCTTCCCGCGTTCAGACAGCGATATCTACTTTTTGTGATATCTATTTGCTCAATTATTTACCCGTTCAGACATGAGGGTATCTAATTATGATGATACATAATTACCTACTTACCTCGGTCAGACAGTGATGCTTGTTTATAAGAATATCAGCTTACCAAATTTACCCTTTCCAAAATAATGATAATGTGTACTTATTACATGAAGTTACTCATGGCGATATCCAATTATTTATCCCTCCAAAGAGACCACCTATTCATCATATCCAGACTAATATGTACTCCTGAAAAAAATATCTACTTACTCGTTCAGACATGTTACCAGAAATATATCTTTTTATCCACTTTCTCCACCCAAACATGAAAATATCTACTTATAGCGATATGCACTTATCTTGAACATATCTACTTCAACATTAAAATATCTACTTATCTACCCGCCCCCTCCAGACATGCACCCTGACATCGGCCTGGACTGCGACGGCTACCACGCCTACTGGAAGGGGACGAACTACTGGCGGGGAATCATGTTCCAAGATGCTGAGTACGAGGAGCAGCTCTTTCAGGAGAACACGCTCTATCAGAAGGTGCGTTGGGGGGGGGGGGGGGTTCTTGAATTTGTCGATCATTTATTTATTCATTTTTTTTATTATGGCTGGTTCTTGCTTTGTTGGAGATGCAGTGATATGCTGTTACTTTTCTGGTATGTCGTGGTTTTCGTGTATATGTATGGGTGTGCGGTTGTGATGAGAAAGTACGTTTGAAACATTTGTTGCTGTTGTTAATTAGAAGTATGGTCATTTATGGCTCTCTTGCTGATACAGTGGCAAATACAATATCTGGAATACTTTTATTTATTTATTTATTTTTTATTATCATTTTTTTTTTTTTTTTGTGTGGGTTTTGTGTTTGCTGGTCACGTCCCTAACCAGTAGTCAACATTTTCTCCTCAAGGTCTCGAAGTCTATCCTGAGCTACGTGGACCTGGAATACGCAGGAATGGGCCCGCAGCGAGAGGCCGAGTCCGCCATCATGAGCCGGAAGGTCCCGCCTCGCATCAGTCACGTGAGCATCTCCAACAACGCCTTCAATGGCATCAACGTCACGCTGCCTGGCACCTTCTTCCGCCTGCAGGAGTCGACCATCTCGGGGAATAATGGTAGGACACTTAGATATTTCTGTGGGTCTGTGTTTTTCCAGTCGCTTCTCAGTGTTTTTTTTTTTTTTTGTTTTTTGTTTTTCGTTTATAGATTTTTATTTGTTTTCACTCAGAAAGCCCAACAAACAAACAAAAATCTATATATTTTGCAACATTTTCGAACCTTGCCAGCCAGCACCCAACTTAGACCTCACCCCCCCCCTCGTGTCCCTAGGCTACGGCGTGTACATCAACTCCTCGACGGGCTCGGTGCTGGTGGACACCAACACGAGGGTGTCCGACAACCGCGGCGACGGCATCAAGTACAACTTCCACCGGCGGGAGCCCGACCGGTCCGCCTCCGACACCTTCCAGGACTTCTGCTCGGGGGCGTCCAACCCCAACCAGGCCTACCCGATCGTCACCGTCTACAACCAGGACAGGTTCTCCGTCAACGACCTCACGTGCAGCAGGGTGAGTGCCGCGTCGGTGCTCGGGGCGGGGCAGGCGGCGGAGGGAGGCAGTTCGCATTTGGGGTTTGGAAAAGGATGGGCGAGTTTTGGCTGTCGGATAGGTCATATAGTTGGGACTGCTTTTTTTGCGTGTGTGTGTTTTTGGGGATAATTTGATTTGGGGGTGTGAGATGGATAATGAATCAGTTTGGGGGGGACATGAATTAAATAATCATTTTGTGTTTTCCTGTTTTATGTAATACATTTTATACTTTTTTTTCAGAAATTTTACATCTCCAAGGCCGACTTCGTCTTCTCAGTCCACTTCACGTACATGCAGACGGACGAAGACGCGGCCGGCACCGTAGAAGTCAGGTAGGTCGATTTGTTTCTTCATAATTACGGATTTGTGGTTAGAAATACTGCTCCATTTTAGATTTCAACAAATTTATGTAAATGCTTCGAACCCTAACAACTGTATCGACTTGGCCAGGGACCGTGACGAATGGGGCGACTTGCTGACCAAGTTCGAGATCAGGAACGACACGTACCCGCCGTCTGTCGTGTCTCGCGGGAACAGACTCTACATCAGAGTGTCCGCCAAGAGGATGAAGCAGAGCGTCGTCTTCATGGAGGTTGTTGCTAGTAAATGTACGTGTTTTTCTCTCTCTTCTTATGACTTTGAGGCTTTTTATTCAAAGGAAAAGTGTTTGATAGTATTTTATTATTATTGCTGGTTTTGTCTTGCTAATGCGTTCCTCCTGTTTTCAACAATTCCACTTGTTTCTTTGCAGATAAAATGTTCGACCTGAGCCTCCGGAACTCGTTCGTGGCCAACAACAGCGGCCATGGCGTCGCCGTGGAGAACATGCGCAGCCTCGTGCACGTGCACCACTCGAACCTCACCCGCAACTTCTTCGGCTCGGGCCTCAACATCCGCGGCGGCGCCGGCGATGTCAACGTGACATACTCGACCGTGGACCAGAACGTGGGCGACGGCGTCAACATCACGTATGAGGGCGGCTTGCAGAATGTGTCGTGGAGCCGCATCGCCAACAACGACCTGCGCGGCGTCGCCGTCTGGTTCAACGAGAGTGGCCTGGACGCGCAGATCCGCCAGGAGACGGCCGTTGCGTATTCGGCCATCGAGGGCAACCTCGGCGTGGGCGTCCGGGTCGGGAACTTCTGCAGGGAGGCCTTCGTTAACATCAGCGGCAATCATTTCTCGGAGGGACAGGCGGCGGCGCTCGAGGTCGAGTCCTGCTGGCTGAAGGACGGGGAGCTCCGCACCGTCCAGATCGGCCAGAACCTCTTCAACAGGAACCACCGCCTGGCCATCAAGATCTCCCCGGCCGTCAACATGAACCTGACGATCGAGTACAACGAAATGAATGAAAACGACCGCGGAACGTTAATGGTCTACAACGAGGATAAGGTGGAGCTGCTGCTGCTGCCCTTCACGGGCTTGATCAGAAGGAACAACATCAAATACAACACGGGCTGGTTTGTGCTGCGGCTGGGGCTCACGCTGCGGGGCCTCGACCAGAGCCTCCTCGTGCAGAGGAACGCCATCAAAGACAACGTTGTTCAGGAACTGTACAGCAACATCCAATCTCGCAGCCGCTCCGCAGGCGTGGTGTGCGTGGGCTCGTCGAACGTCGTCCTGTACCGCAACCTGATCGACAACCCCGGTTCGCTGTACGAGGTCAGCTCGCACGCCAGGGACCAGAGCACGCCCATCAACGCCACCTTCAACTGGCTGGGCAGCAAGCGGGAGACGGATATCTTCGAGCGCATCCTCGACCGGCGCGACCGCTACAACCTAGCCCTCGTGCTGTTCCACCCGTTCCTCCTCAGCAGCACCAACGTGGACACGCCCGTCACGGAGCCGGGCCAGGTGAGCGAGCCCGAATTCTTCGACCCGGCGGACAACCGCGTCATCGGCGGCGAAGTCAACGGCGAAATCACGCTGCACGACGGCGTCTACACCGTCACGCGCGACATCTACGTCCACGACACTGGCACGCTCACCATCGCCTTCGGGTCGACTCTGGAGTTCGCCGAGGGCATGGGCATGATGGTCGCCGGCCTCCTGAGGACGGAGGGATCCGGCGCAGAGGCCGTTCGCTTCACGCTCAGGGGCACGACAGCGAAGGAGCAGGATGCCGCGAGGGCTCTCCTGATGAAGGAGGACGACCTGCTGGCGCTGAACACTACGGACGCTCTGAACATGACCGCGGACGCCATGGCAGCCAACTTCACGGAGGGGCCGGCCGTCCCCGTCAAGCTGGTGGGCGGAAGAGACGAAATGGAAGGCCGCCTGATGGTAAGGGCCATGGGTGGGGGCAGACTGGGGGAATCATCTCCCTTTGGGCTGAGTGACTCAGACACATGATAGACAAATATATGAATTGAGTTCAAGAAATTTGATTAGAAATAATTACATCCTCATTTATATAATCTAAAGAAGCTAAATTTGATACTAGACATGAATGATTATACGAAATTCTTTTAATATTAAACAACCGTGAAGTAACAATATCAATCATTTATAAACGTTTACTAAATAACAGCCTTGTGTACACAAAACTCTTCACCTTATAAAACAGTCCTTAGACTCATCCAAAATGATTTTTCCCACCCCATTACTTTTCGTAACCATCACGAAAAACAAAATAAATTAATGAATTAATAAGAACACAAGGTCACTAACCGTCCAACGAGAACACGAATACGCACACACGCCCCTAACGCAGCCAGGTATACACCAATGACCGTCCGGCCTATCACTCGACAGGTGTACATCGGCTCGGAGTGGGGCACGGTGTGCAACCACGGCTG